AATCTGTTGGCGGAGAGGTAGCTGTTACTAAAATTTCCAAATAGATCTTTTGGCATCCATTAGATAATAGGGGGCTAAGAAAAATGTCTTAAACAAATGAAATTTAGGGGCACTTGGGTGGCTCAGTCGGTTAAGGGGCCGACTTCGGCTCAGGTCATGATCTCACGCTTCGTGAGTTTGAGCCCCACGGCGGGCTCTGTGCTGACAGCTCAGAGGCTGGAGCTGCTTCAGATTCTCTGTCACCTTCTCTCTCTGCCCTCCCCTGCTCTTGCTTTGTCTCTCTGTCTCTCAAAAATAAATAAACATATAAAAAAATCAAATTTAAGCAAACCCGATGGTACCCATCATTGTTACCATGAAAATGATGATGATATTGACAGTGTACACAGAACTTTTGAATCTTATTTTTTAAATTTGTTTTTATGTTTATTTATTTTTGAGAGAGAGAGACAGAGCACAAGTTAGGGAGGGCCAGAGAGAGATGGAGACACAGAATCTGAGGCAGGATCCAGGCTCTGAGCTGTCATCACAGAGCCCAACGGTGGGCTCGAACTCACGAACATTAGATCATGACCTAAGCTGAAGTTAGATGGTCAACCAACTGAGCCATCCAGGTATCCTGAACTTGTGAATTTTAAACTGCATGCTTACATGTCCTTTTATTAGATCCTGGCAATCCAGTGACACATATTATTATCCAGATAAATTATATCCTCTTTTTACAAATTAAATTTAAACTTGGAGTGCCTGAGTGATTTGAGGTAAATAAGGCAAATTAGCCCTCCCTTACCTAACTTATTCCTCTTTAAAGGGAGATAATAATCTTGGCTTTCTATCATTCCAGGGTTCTATTTGTAAGACAAACTGTAACCTGGGCACACAATAAATGTTTGCCAATAATAGTAGTGGTGTAAAAGTTCAGTATTTATCTGAAACAAGTCTAGTTCCACTATAACTTTTTTCCCTGTGATGTTTAGAGCAGAGAACATTTTCCTACTTGCACTTGGCTAAGCAACCTTTCAAGCACTGAGATTTATGTTTATTTCAGATTCAAATGTATTCTCATGTCAAGATTTGCTTGCAGAGAGTAACTCTGTCTTTTCTGATTAGGTGAGTATAACTCAGTGAAGAGACAGTTTACATAATTTGGAGGCTCAGGTGGATTGGTCTGGGAGAGGCTACATTTGTTACCTCTCTGGCATTACTCTGCTTGTTCATTTTTTTGGCATAATATGGTAAGAAAGCATAGGAGCTTACATTGTAAAGATTTGGCCATGTTCTAATTCAACCAGTTACTCCTAATTGTAGGACTACGGGCAAGCCATGTAGTCTCTTAGAATCTCAATTTTCTCAGCTGTAAAATGCAAATAACACCTCACACAAGTGTTACAGGGCTAATTGAAACTATATATATTCAAAGTTTTTATTTGAGAGAGAGACCATGTGTGTGTACACGTGCGTGCACATACACACCTACACCCACACACACAAGTAGAGTGGCAGAGGGAGAGAGACAGGGAGAGGGAGGGAGAATCTTAAGCAGGCTTCACACCCAGTATGAAGCCTGATGTGGCGCTTGATCTCACAACCTTGAGATCATGACCTGAGCCAAAATCAAGAGTCTGATGCTTAATCAACTGAGCCACCCAGGTGCCCTGAGAACAGTTTTTTAAATGTAGTGCACTTGATGCATTCTTCTTTATTTTCTATTTTTATTTTTTTAAGCTTATTTATTTATGGGGGGGCAGAAAGAGGGGGAGCGAGAGAATCTCAAGCAGGGTATGTGCTGTCAGCGTCAGGCTGCAGGGTTCCATCTCACAAACAGTGAGACCATGACCTGGGCCAGATCAACAGTCAGATGCTCAACTAACTGGCTGAGCCACCCAGGTGCCCCCATTCTTCTTTTTTAAATAATCTTTTTATTACAAAAATAAGAAATGTTCACTATGGGACATTTTAGAAAAGCAAAGCAAGCTGAAAGGATAAAACGAAGATTACCTGACTAAACACCCCCTAGAGCAATTCTTAACCTTCAACAGGTGTCAAAATTGGAAGGCTTGTTCACAGATTGCTGGGTTCACTTCCAGAGTTTCTGATTCAGTATTTCTGGAGTGGGCCCCAAGTATCTGCATTTCTAATAGAATCCCAGGTGATACTGGTGTTGCTGATCTGGGGATGACACTTTGAGAATGAATCACCAGCCTAGTGCAAAACACTAATAACTTTATATAACCATATATGGTGTATATTTTTTATTGTTTTTATAAAAACCCGGTTTCACACTATCATGTCACCTTTTTTATTCAACAAACTCCTCTTTGTACATGCACTTTTCTATACATGTGCTTTGTGCTGCAGCTGAGCAAGCCCAGAGAGCCAGGAAAGAAATTGCTGACTATCTGGCTTATGGGAAAGATGAACGAGCTCAGATCTGAGTGGAACATGTTATCTGAGAAGACTACCTCATGGAGGCCCTGGAGATCCTGGAACTCTGTTGTGACCTGCTGCTGGCTCAGTTCAACTTGATCCAGGCCACAAAGTAAGACCTATTGAACCTGCACAGTTTTCAGGCTCAAAGGAGTGACAAGGCATCCCTGCACCCAGTGAGGTAGTGGGTGCGCTCTAACTTGCTGGTACTATGCCAAAGGACTTTGTCTCTAATTTTTATAGGAGTAAGTAGTGCTATTTGAGGAGAATATGTTAGTCCAAGGAGCCATGTTTTTTTTTTTTTTAATTTTAAAAATGTTTTACTTATTCTTGAGAGAGAGAGACAGCGTGAGCAGGGGAGGGTCAGAGAGAGGGAGTCACTGAATCTGAAGACAGGCTCCAGGCTCTGAGTTAGCTGTCAACACAGAGCCTGGTGCGGGGCTCGAGCCCAAGAACAGAGAGATCATGACCTGAGCCAAAGTCAGATGCTCTACCGACTGAGCCACCCAGGCGCCCCCAAGGAGCCATGTTTAGAACCTTATGGTTGTTGGGGCACCTGACTGGCTCAGTGGGAATAGCATGTGACTCTTTTTTTTTTTTTTTTTTGCTTTTTCAGCCATTTCTTCTTATTTACAGTTTGTGTTCAATGCAAATCAATTCCATAACATGAGAAGTTACTATGAATCAAAGCATAAATACACAAACACAATATATAATCCAAAGTAGATGTAGAGCATTCAGGTATGAAACAAAATGGAATGTTCACACACACAGTAGCTTGAGATCTGTTGGATATGGTTGTTCTCGTGTGGGTTCCTAAAGATGGGAAAAAAGCACTTTGGTAATCAAGGCTACTGTGGCCATATTAGATAGTGGAACATCTAAGCATCAGTGTGTGACCATGCGAACAAAACACCTTCGTCTATTTTTTTAAAAAGCTTTCTTTTTTTTTAATGAAATTTTTTAAATTTTTTTAACGTTTTATTCATTTCTGAGAGAGAGAGAGAGAGAGAGCAGGGGAGGGTCAAAGAGAGAGAGACACAGAATCAGAAACAGGCTCCAGGCTCAAAGCTGGCAGCACAGAGCCCAACACGGGGCTTGAACCCACGAACCGTGAGATCATGACCTGAGCTGAAGTTGGAGACTTAACTGACTGAGCCACCCAGGCGCCCCTTTAAAAAGCTTTCTGTGCATCGAGGCAGATGTGAAAAGATTTACTTTCCAGACTCAAGCCCACTTTAGCTTAGGACCAGGTTCTAACTATCTAAAAATATTGACTAACAAAGTGTTCCAAATGTGGCTATTCTGATTCAGAGTTTTTTAAAAAAGTATTTACAGAAAGAGTATATAAGGTTTTTTCCGAATTTAATGTAAGCAAGGTTCCAATCTTCCAACTTCCCAAATACTTGATTTACAATTTTGGCCCCTGCATGCATTTCGCCTTTTCAATGTCAAGATTTGTCAATTTTACCTTCAAAACAGATAATTTTTTAAACTGTAAAAAGCATTCAACAGATGCAGAAATACAAAGTGTTCTTAAATTAGTTGAAGTCAATGTACTTCTACTCTTTGGAATCAGTTTAGTTAAATGAATCTGGCACTCTGTTGAACAGGGATAAGTGATAGTATACAAGCAAAATTTACTCATTATGCTTCAATCCGGGGTAGATTCCAATCCATCATTGCCCTGGCACATGCCAATTACTATATAAAAAAATCAAATGCAATGTCAAAGCCAAAGTCTCAGAGGAAAGACTTCAGTTCCTAAGAAACAGTGATACCTTAACAATATAAAACTTTATCTAGGGTACATAGGCATTAATTAGTACTGCTGAAACAATGCATTGAGGATTTACAGTGACACCTGGAAGTTCCTTCTAAAGTACATATAAATAGAATCATGGACTTAAAGATTTAATGAGCCAAATGAAAATGGAATCTGTTCACATCCCATCCTTTATATCTAGGTAAGATAAAATCTATTCTCATTTAAAAAAATGTATTCTCATTTTGAAGGTGCAATTTTAGGTATCCATACTTCTTAAGCCACATTTAAAGAAATCACCTCTTAACTACTCTTGGATGTTGTCTCTTCATCTTGTACATGAAACTCCAGTAGATTTAACAGACATTCATCATATAGTCAAACACTTCACATGTTCTTCAAACCAATCGAATTTGGGATCCTCAACATTTTCTGGGTCAATAAAATAAGGTGTGGAATTAGCAGATTCACTGAAGACCTGTTTTTTTCCTTGTCACACCAGATGTCTAGACACCATTTGGACTAGGTTTAGAAGACTGGGAGGTATAGATATTTCTTGGCCTGAGTCTCTTAACAGTAGAGTGTAGAAGGGAGGGCGAGATCACGAAGAGACTGGCTGTTGACTGGAGAACACTGCCATTTGGTGTGGTGGTGGCATTAGCTGGATTTGGGCCGGTTGAGGTATTCTGGGAGGGGTTACTCAGGAGTTACAACAGTTGTTTGATTTGCATAAATCTGCATGGGTAGGAGCAGCACCAGAAGCAGCAGCCCCAGTCCGAGCCTGGCCACCATCGCTCTGCCCATGTCTGCTCCATCAGCATCGGTGCACGGCGCGTCTCACTGGATGCGGGTTGAGTGGAGAACCGCTGGCTTGGGGCTGGCGAAAGTAAGGTGGGTAGCATGTGACTCTTGATCTTGGGGTCTTAAGTTTGTTGAGTGTAGAGATGCCTTAAATAAATACATTTAAAAAAATATGGTTGTCTTTTTTCCCCTTGAGTTTGTAGAAGAGTGGGGAAATACAGACAGAAAAAGAATCCATAATCACCAAATCTAGAGATAAGAATTTTGGTTTATTTCTTTCAGTCTATATGTGTATTTGTGTATTTTTCTATGTGTGTATAAACACATACGTGTGTGTATAGTTATATATACCTATGTGTATATATACCTATGTGTACATATAGGTATATATTGTAATTTCCCTTAAAAAGAATTATTTGACACTAGTGGGGCCTGGGTGGCTCAGCTGGTTGAGCGTCCGACTCTTGGTTTCAGCTCAGGTGATGATCTCACAGTTTCCTGGGGTTGAGCCCTCTGTTGGGCTCTGGGCTGGCAGCACAGAGCCCACTTGGGATTCTCTCTCTCTCTCTCTCTCTCTCTCTCTCCCTCTCTCTCTCTCCTCTCTGTCCCTCCCCCACTTGCACTGTCTCTGTGTCTCTAAAAAATAAACACTAAAACTTTTTTCAATATTTATATATTTATTTTTGAGAGAGAGAGAGAGAGAGAGAGAGAGAGAGAGAGAAAGCAGGGGAGGGTCAGAGAGAGAGGAAGAAAGAGAATCCCAAGCAGGCTCACACTGGCAGTGTGGAGCCTGATGTGGGGCTCAAACCCATGAACCATGAGATCATGACCTGAGCCGAAACAAAGAGTCAGACACTTAATTGAGCCACCCAGGCACAGCGGAGACAGAATAACTTGTTTAAAGATTTTGGACTAGGGAACTTAGGGAATTTTGGATTAGGGAACTTTATAACAAAGCTAGCATCAAGCAAGCTGAGATTCTTTAAAAAAAAATTTTTTTTTTAATGTTTAGTCATTTTTGAGAAACAGAGAAAGACAGAGCACTAGTCGGGATGGAGCAGAGAGAGAGAGACAGACAGACAGACAGACAGACAGAATCTGAAGCAGGCTCCAGGCTCTGAGCTGTCAGCACAGAGCCTGATGTGGGGCTTGAACTCACCAACTGTGAGATTATGACCTGAGTCGAAGCTGGACACTTAACCAACTGAGCCATCCACGTGCCCTGCTGAGATTCTTTCTTTATGAAGAAAGCATATGTTTTCCTAAATGTAAGTGGCCTAGTAATATGAAAAAAGTTAATAAATTTAGAAGCTTCAACTTTGGAACATCTTACATCATGACCACACATTATAATTCAGGACTGACATTCAGCTGAGACACAGAGATCTAGCTGCAGTGTTGTTTCAGGCTGGTGGTGTTTAGTGTTATTTCAGGGTGTCCACTCTGACTGGAGGGTAACTTGCTGTACTGGTTGCTGAGTGTGTTGAATACTGCCTTTGACATAATTCAAATACTTGCAAAATCAGAATTCTCAATTTAAAGTATTTTTCTTAAGTTTATCTTCTTCCTCTTATTTTACTTAGTTTGAGGTTCTTTCACCCCAGGATAGGGCTGTATTTATGATATAAGCAGAGCCCCTCCTCATTGTTACTAAATTTTTAAAAAATTTTATTTTATTTTATTTTATTTAAATATATATATTTTATTTATTTCTAGGAGATAGAGGGAGAGACAGCGTGAGCAGGGGAGGGTCAGAGAGAGAGGGAGTCACAGACTGAAACAGGCTCCAGGCTCTGAGCTGGCAGTCAGCACAGAGCCCGACGCGGGGCTCGAACCCACGAACCGCGAGATCATGACCTAAGAGAAAGTCGGACGCTTAACAAACTAAGCCACCCAGGCGCCCCTTTTAAAAAATTTTAAATTGTACTTTTACAGAAAAAATACTAGAAAGATGAAGGACAATGACTGAAAGGTGAAAGACCACCTCAACTCTTTTTGTTTCTGAGTTTGTGGATATGTGTGTGACCAATTCTGTTATGTTCTTTATCTTGTAGCTAATGTGCAAATTAAATGAGACTACTCCACCCCAGGTTCTAGTAGAACAGTGCCTGATAGAAATTGCTAAGAACTACAATGTGCCATATAAATCCAAGGCAACCATTATGGTGAGTACTTTCAAGAAGAAAGAACTGACTTAAAGCTGAGATTTTTTTTGTGCACCAGAAGATTTTTTTTTTCTACTTAGGAATGTGGCTTCCAGAGTAGCTCTGCCAGGATTGTAAAGCAGGTGATATGCGCACCTTTTCTCCACCCACATACTTTTTCTAACAGAGCTTGACTTCTGCTGTCACATGACCTTTATAAGTTGGTAACAATAGGGTAGAAAACAAGGATGAAGAAACCTGAAGTGTTATACTTACAAGTGTGTAAACAAAAGAACCCCGCCAAAACACATGCGTGTACACATACACACACAGGAGTGTGTAAAACCTTTTTAGTTCCTAAGATCTCAATTTTATCTCAGAGTTATTTTGAATTTTAATAAAGAGTTCTTGAATTAAGGCTACAAGATCCAAGGTATAAGGGACTATCTTTTGGCGTTAAGAGTATGAGTTCAGTAGTGAAATGACCCATATTCAGACCCTAGATTCACCATTTATTAACCATAAGACCTCAGAGAAGTGACTTACCCTTTCAAAGACTCAGTTCTCTGGGCTTTAAGAAGGGGGACAATAATAGTTAATAGTTATTACCAAGTCTCATAAATTTGTTGAGATGATTAAAGAAGTTAATATGAATAAAGAAGTTAAATGCAATGGCTGGCACATAGCCAATGTAATCAAGTTTTGTTTTCCACCATCATCATCATCATCATAATCATCATCATCATCATCATCACTCAAGGTGGTCTAAGCTTATAAAAGGTGGTCATGGAATGTTTAGAGCAAGAGGGATTTCCCCCTAATGCCTTTGAATTGCTGAAGTGGCATGTATCATGTTGGACTGTGTTAAGGGGCACGCTTTTCTGAGGCTTTACTCTGGATTGTTTCCTGATAGGAATCTCATATTCCTTATTTCCCCCTCTTCCAACGAGTTATATGGTTTGTTGAAGAATGACACATTGTAAAAATTTAGACAACACAGAAAGGGACTTTGAAGAAGTAAAAGCCACATGAAATACCACTAGAGATGTGGCCAAGGGCTGAGTCTCTAGACTTTTTCTTTTTTCTTCTCTATTCTTTAGGTGATTTCATCCTACATCATGGTTTTCAAACCCATATTTATGGTGAAGACTTCCATATGTCTATCACTAGCTAAGAGCTGTAGGTTGATATGATCTCCAGACTGGTATATCCATCCACCTTCTTGATATCTTCACGTGGATGGTTCAGAGGCATCTTAAACTTAACACGTCCAAAAGTGCTCTCACCCCTTTCAAGGACCTACTCTTTCTTTCTTTTTTTTTTATACAATTATTTTTTTAATGTTTTATTTATTTCTAGGAGAGAGAGAGAGAGAGAGACAGCATGAGCAGGGGAGGGTCAGAGAGAGAGGGAGTCACAGACTCTGAAACAGGCTCCAGGCTCTGAGCTGGCAGTCAGCACAGAGCCCGACGCGGGGCTCGAACCCACAAACTGCGAGATCATGACCTAAGCGAAAGTCGGACGCTTAACCGACTAAGCCACCCAGGTGCCCCTCAAGGACCTACTCTTTCTACAGTTCATGGCAATTCTATGCTAGGGCAAAATCTTGATATCTTCCTTGACTCTACCCCTTCTCTCAACCCCTAGCCTTCAACCAATCTTCAGTGATTCTACCTTCTAAATAGATCCAGAATTCTGCCACTTCTCACCACCTCCATTGACGATATTCTGATGTAACATACAATAGTCTCTTGCCTGAATGACTGCAATAGCCTCTTAACTGGTTTTCCTGCCTCTACTCCTGTTCTCCGTTAATTGATGTTCAATTTAACTGTCAGAGATCTGGTTAGAACCTAAGTCAGATCACGTCACTCTTCTTTTAAAGCCTTACAATGGCTTTTTAATTCACTTAGAATAACAGGCAGCACCTTTGCTGTGACCAAGGAGGAAATGCACTCTCACCTCTTCTCTCTGGCCTCGTTCTTTCTACTCTTCCCCTTATTTACTCTGCCTCAGCCACACTGGCCTCTTTGTGCTTCTTCAAACACACATGCTGGCTCCCACCTCAGGACCTTTGTACTTCCAGTACTCTGTGTTCTCTAGCTATCTGCTGTGTCCCTCCCTCACTTCCTTCAAGTCTGTACTTATGTGTTCTCTGTGAGTCTCTTCCCAGCTACCGTCTCTAAAATGTCAACTCTTCCCTCTTTTCTGCTTAATGTTTTTTCTCTATTGCTCTTAACTCTAACATACTATATAGTTCACTCAGCGATCTTGTTTATTAACTGTTTCTTCCACTAACTATTAGTTGTATGAGGACAGGGACTTTTGTCTGTTTCATCCACTGTAGCATCCCTAGCACTGTGCCAGGTTTACATTAAGTGATCAATAGATTTTTGTCAAAATAATGGATAAATTCAGAGTTTACCACTGCCAAAGCTTGATAAACTTTCTTGTAGACCTATCTATGCATATTTATGTGCAGTTCTTAATCACTGAAGTATTACAGTGTCTGACCCATAGGCATTCAAAACATAGTCTTTGAAAGAGAGAGAAAGAAGGTGGCATGGGCCAGAAGCTTGAAGATTGCTAGAATTGACTTAACTTATGTTAGAATCTGAGCTTCATGAGGGCAGGAACCATGTGTCTTTGCTCACCATTTCTTCCCCTGTGCTTCAAAGAATGTTCGGCATCTAGTAGGTATGTAATAAACAAATGTGTGATAAGTTGAGAACCCAATGTGATTCTTAGCCTTTTGCCTCAGGTGGAAGCCCCAGCAGACCTGGTCAGTATTGGGTTTACTGAGGATATTAAGAAAGGTGTTGTTGACAAAGCAGGTGGAACTTTAGCAGGAACTGATGATCCACTTGGGACATCGCCAGTATCTGCACCGGGACCCTTTCCTGTGAGACCCTCAGCCTCTTGTTTTTCATCCCTTCCTCCTGAAAGACAGGTCAGTACAGAGAGGATTCTGGAATGGGACTACCAGTAGTGTCAAAATATATTTCTACATGGGCCTTTTGAATGGTAGAATACTCTTTGTGATTTTTTTAAGGCCAGGAGGCCTATTTGCAGTCATTTAGCTGACATTTGATGTGGTTTTTGTTTTTAAATTTTTTTTAATGTTTTATTTATTTCTAGGAGAGAGAGAGACAGCGTGAGCAGGGGAGGGTCAGAGAGAGAGGGAGTCACAGACTCTGAAATAGGCTCCAGGCTCTGAGCTGGCAGTCAGCACAGAGCCTGACGCGGGGCTCGAACCCACGAACCGTGAGATCATGACCTAAGCGAAAGTCAGACACTTAACCGACTAAGCCACCCGGGCGCCCCGACATTTGATGTGTTTTTAAAAAATGTTTATTTATTTTTGAGAGTGAGAGAGAAACAGTGAACGAGCAGGGGAGGGGCAGAGAGAAGGGGGAGACACAGAATCTGAAGCAGGCTCCAGGCTCCGAGCTGTGAGCAGAGACTGATGCATGGCTCAAGCACAAACTGAGATCATGACCTGAGCCAAAGTCAGGCACTTAGCCAACTGAGCCACCCAGGCACCCCTGTGGGGAAAGAGGAATTTAAAGCAAATCTCAGACATCATATAATTTCAACTGTAAATATTTCTGTAAATATCTCTAACCTTTTGTTTTTATAATACAAAACAATGCCATACCATTATGATACTCAATACAATGAAAAATAATTCCTTAATATCATATAATACTCAATCCACATTAACTTTTGCTGATTGCTGGGGTGCCCTGGGTGGCTCAGTCGGTTAAGTGTCCCAGCTTTGGCTTAGGTCATGATTCACGTTTTGTGAGTTCAAGCCCTGACTTGGGCTCTCTGCTGTCAGCACAGAGCCTGCTTCTGATCCTCTGTTCTCCCTCTCTCTCTGCCCTCCCCCCCCCCCACTGGTTCTCTCTCTAAATAAATAAACTTTAAAAAATTTTGCTGATTGTCTCAAAAATGCATTTTTATAGTTATTTTATTGAAATCAGGACCCAAAAAGATCTATACAGTCTATTTGGTTGATATCTCTCTTAAATCTTTTCATCTCTAACACTTCCTTCTCCTGCCAGTCCTTTTCTCCTTGCCATTTATTTGTTGGAGAAAGAGTCCTTTGACTTTATTAAACTGAATCATCTTTCACATGCAGCATCTCCAGGCTTTAAGACAAAAGATTTCCTGATTCTTGTATGAGACCACTAGTGACAAAAGCAGCAAAACTCATAGTTGCTCCTAAGGTTAATTTCCAGAAGGCATAAATAGAAACTTCACCTTCACAAGATGGACTGTGATAAGTTAATTTTATGAAATATTTATTGAAGGCTGACTATGAACAAAATATGTGTTTGGCATTCAAATCAATCACATCTCAGTGAAGTTTTTCCTTTCAGAATGATTCCAGTAAGAAGAGTGATTTGCCTCCTTCACTGGTTCCTAGTAAGTATAGGGAATGCTGGAAGAAGCTGTAATTGCTTACTATTCACTGAAGATTTTTCACTTCTTATAAGACTATTCCTCCATAGGTGAGAGAATGTTATTAGTGACTTATGAGGAGTAAGTGGGTTCCTTTATAGTAGCCAACAGTTTTCAAAGTGGGTATTAGATCTCAGAGAGATCTTTAACACACAAAAAAGTTTTAAAACCACTATCACACTAGATAATCATGGCACATAGTTTGAAAAACTGTGCCTTTTTTAGAAGTCCAGATTGCCTTTGAATCAAAGGCCAACAAAATGTCACCACTACCACCGTTTGCATGATGGGAGAGTTGTCTAGTTCTCCAGCCAGATTATATGCTGCACTCTCAAAAGTAATAATAACCTACTGTCTTTGAGGCTGGGATTTCTTTCTAGAAGACTGTATTATTATGACTTTTAATTATATTTATTGAAATGAACAGGTTCAGGACTCAATCTCCTGACTTCTCCAAAGCCAGAATCAAGATCCAAGATCGGTTTTGATAACTTTATGCTGCCTGATTTGCCTAATGTAAAACCTCAAGCAAGCCTATCCATTGACCCTTATGGTTCTGAGGAAGTTGATTTTGAAGATCTTAACCGGAGACTTGAAATGCTCAAGAAAACCACATAATTCCTTGGTCTTGGATTGAGTACTTAATTGCCTGGGAATCAGGGCTCTTCAGCACAAATTCTAATGTGGCTACTTGTGTGTGGGTCTGAAGTTTTCTCATTTACAACCCCTTCCATCTTTGAAAGTCTATGGTTCTCTGTTTGTAATAATGTGTGCGTACGTGTATGTGCATACACATATAATTATTCCTGTCTCTGAAACTTCTATAATTCTTAGATGAAGATTCCTGACCTAAAGAATTTTTATTAATTATAGTCAATAAACTCTTGTTTTCTCCTGGATCCTTACTTCTCTCATAATGATCACTTTTTCTAGGGAGACAGAATGGTGTGTATTTAATTCCTACCCACTTTACTAGCTATAAAGACTTTTGCTAAATCGTACCTCCTGTCAAATGTGCATAAGAGTGCAAAGAAACCAGAGGAATATGTGTCTTTTTTAAAATGTGTATTTTAGGGGCACTGAGGTAGGTCAGTTGGTTAAATATCCTATTCCTTTTTTTTTTAAGTGCATTTGTTTATTTTGAGAGAGAGATACAGACAGACAGAGCACAAGTGGGGGAAGGGCGGGGGGGGGGGTAAGAGAGAGAATCCCAAGCAGGCTCCGTGCAATCAAAGAGCCCAATACAGGAACTGAACACATGAAACACAAGATCGGGACCTAAGCCAAAATTCAGTGTCTCAATCGACTGAGCTGCCCCGGTGCCTGTAAATATTTTACTTTTGATCTCAGGGTCTTGAGTTCAAGCTCTATGTTGGGTTCCATACTGGGTATGAAGCCTACTTTAAAAAAAAAAAAAGAGTATTTTAAAGACTGGGGTGCCTGGGTGGGTCAGTAAGTGTTCGACTTCGGCTCAGGTCATGATCTCATGGTTCATAAGTTTGAGCCTCACATCAGGCTCTGTGCTGACAGCTCAGAGCCTGGAGCCTGTTTTGGATTCTGTGTCTCCCTCTCTCTCTGCCTCTCCCCTGCTTGTTCTCTCTCTCTTTCTCAAAAATATGTAAACATTAAAAAATAAAATAAAAAAGAGTATTTTAAAGAAAGAATGTGCAACACAGAGTGAAAGAGAGGCATTGTTAGCAAATCAGTAGAATCTCATATATCTGGGTTCTGCCACTTGCTAGCTGTGAGGCTCCTTTTTCTCATCTATAAAATGGGGACAATAATGAAAATTAAAAAAATAATGTATGTAAAGCCCTTTAGCACTTATTAGGTGCTCAATAAATATTAGGTTCATTTTCAGTTTCTATTTGCTAAGTTTTAGTGGACTAAATATTAGTGATTCTATAGGATAAAGGAGAGGCTGAGAAAACAAGATGGTCAGATTGATTACTTTGTTTCTTGTACAACTGGCATTTTTGTTTGTTTTTCTTCTTTTTTTTTAATGTTTTATTTATTTCTAGGAGAGAGAGACAGCGTGAGCAGGGGAGGGTCAGAGAGAGAGGGAGTCACAGATTCTGAAACAGGCTCCAGGCTCTCAGCTGGCAGTCAGCACAGAGCCCGATGCGGGGCTTGAACCCATGAACCGCGAGATCATGACCTAAGCGAAAGTCGGACGCTTAACCGACTAAGCCACCCAAGTGCCCCTGTTTGTTTTTCTTCTTAATAGCCCTTGTTTTAGAGTAGTTTTTGGTTCACAGCAAAATGCCAAATTAATTTTTATTACTTTTTAATTATACATATGTTTATATGTTTATTTTTGAGAGAGAGAGAGAGCACAAGCAGGGGAGGGACAGAGAGAGAGCGAGAGAGAGAGAGAGATTGAAGAGACACAGAACCCGAAGTGGGCTCCAGGCTCCGAGATGTCAGCACAGAGCCCAACATGGGGCTCGAACCCATGAACTGAAGTTCAGATGAACTTGACCTCAGCTGAAGTCAGATGCTTAACTAGCTGAGCCACCCAGGCGACCTATATATATTTTTTTTATTTTAGAAAAAGAGCACAAGCAGGGGGAGAGTGACAGAGGGAGAAAGAAAGAGAATTTCAAGCAGGCTCCATGCTCAGCATGGAGCCTGATTCAGGGCTCAATCCCACAACCCTGGGATCATGACCTGAGCCGAAATCAAGAGTCAGATGCTCAACCAACTGAGCCACCCAAGCACCCCTCAAATTAATTTTAAAATCCAATTATTGGTTATGCAAAAATCTTTGTTTCAGAATCCTATTTGACATTGCCCCTTTTGCAGGTAACAAAGTGATACTTATAGACCAACTTCTCTGTTTAAAAAAAATCAGTTTGATCTTGAATGTTTTATTCTAGGATTTCCCCCTCCTCGTGAAAAACAAGTTTATTCAAAGAATATGAGGTCAAGGGAGGATCTTCCAAATCCAAGGCCAGGGACCCACCTGCACAAAAAGCCAGCTGCCTCTCCTGTGGAGTATGGTGTCTCACTCGGGCACCTGTTTGAGTCCTAGATCATCCTCTGGAATGTGTGACCAGTTTGATAGAGGATTTTGGTGTTTCCTCAACTGGGTACCAGACTGGTTGCCCCAGTTACCGTGTATGTCCCAACACTTCTTGGCATTCCCAGGTTTATTTTATTTTTTAAAAAGTTTTATTTAAGTAATCTCTACACCCAGTGTGGGGCTCGAATTCATGACCCTGAGATCATGAGTTGCATGCTTGTCTGACTGAGCCATTCAGGCACCCCTTCCAGGCTAATTTTATTTACTTATTTATTTAATTTTTTTTAAAATGTTTTTTATTTTTTATTTTTTTTTAATATTTTTATTTATTTTTAGGAGAGAGAGAGACAGCGTGAGCAGGGGAGGGTCAGAGAGAGAGGGAGTCACAGACTGAAACAGGCTCCAGGCTCTGAGCTGGCAGTCAGCACAGAGCCCGATGCGGGGCTCGAACCCACGGACCGCGAGATCATGACCTAAGTGAAAGTCGGACGCTTAACCGACTAAGCCACCCAGGCGCCCCTTATTTATTTAATTTTTAAAATGCTTATTCATTTTTGAGGGAGCGAGTGAGTGGGGGAGGGGCAGAGAGAGAAGGAGACACAGAATCTCAGCTGTCAGCACACAGCCCTATGTGGGGCTCGAACTCATGAACTGTGAGATCATGACCTGAGCTGAATAAGGAAGCTCAATGGATTGAGCCACCCAGGCGCCCCCAGGCTAATTTTAAAGCAAACTGCAGAACTGCCTGCTTTTAGAGGAGTAAGGATGGGGCTAGGCACATGAAGGAAAATGAAACCAATTTACCATGGAAACGTCTAGGCAAATGATGATGCCCATATTAAGGAAATAGAATTACTTGAGTAGGAAATGAGTCAGAAGCACCGGTGACTTTCTGGACGGTGCATCCTTCTCTGGTGGCCAGAGTTTTGTCTTCTCTAGACTAGAGAATGGCACCACTTCCTCAAGTTGAGGTTTGAGTTGGTTGCAGCCTCATGTCTGGTTAAGAGTTTTCACTCCAAAAGTGGCATCATAATACAGAATCCTTTACAAAGCAACTATGACATAAAACATCTCCATTGGCAGACTCTGGACTGCCTTTTTTTTTCTTTCAGTTTTTATTTATTTATTTTGAGAGAGAGAGAGAAAGTGCAAGTGGGGGAGGGGCAGAGAGAGACAGAGAGAGAGAGAGAGAGAGGAGAGAATGAGAATTCCAAGTAGGCTCTGAGCTGCCACTGCAGAGCCCAATGCATGACTTAAACTCACAAACCCTAAGATCATGGCCTGAATCAAAGTCAGACATTTAACCCACTGAGCCATTCAAGCACCCCAGGGCTGCCTCTTTTAAATCTCTAAATCAAAGAAGGACCTTGGCTGGACCTTGCATCCTGTATGCTTTGGTCATTACTTTGAAGGGACATATAGTAGATTTCCTAATGGTCTTGGTAGGAGGCCAAAGAGTGTATGGAGTTGGATGTTAGAATTTCAATGTTTACATCATTTCTAGCTCTTATGCCACAATTAAAGATTAATTCCTAAACTCTTTTCTCAAGCCAGGATAAATTGTGATTAAGCACCCTGCTTAAAAGAACTATAAAAATGCTTTTTGTGAAAACATTACATAAACAACCGAGGGACTAGTTTCTCTCTGACTTTCAGGCTTATTTATAGACTCAGGTGACTCAAACAAGTGGAGCCACCTCCTTGACTCATGTCACTGTGTTTCCAACAGGGTTGTGTCTCCTTCACTCTCCTTTCTCAGCTGAGGTCTTTGGCATGTGGAGAAGCAGGAAGAATTCCTGGTTGAAAGACACTGACCACATTTCTGCAGGGAGAGTCTCCTTATCTGCTGTAAAGGTCTTATGGGTTCAGCTGCTGATACTGAGTCATTTAAGAACCCACTGCAACTAAGTCCCCAAAAGAGGGTCCCTTCTGATATCAGAGATTCCAGCTAACATGCCATGTCTTCCAAAAGGCTTTTTTTCACAGCTCTGGGGCCCAATGACCTCTCATTTTTCTGCTTCTTTTGGGATCGTTTATCAGTTGAATGATAATATCATTGATATTTTTATGTGTTGGAAGATTTTTTTAAAAATCTAGTATTCCTTAATGAGATAAAGGATGGTAGGACAGTCTCTTCTGAAATGCCTATAATGAGGGTACCTGGGTGGCTCCATCGAATAAGCATCTGACTTCAGCTCAGGTCATGATCTTGTGGTCCGTGAATTCCAGGTCCAAGTCAGGCTCTGTGCTGACAGCTTAGAGCCTGGAGCCTGCTTCAGATTCTCTGTCTCCCTCTCTCTCTCTCTGCCCCTTTCCTGCTCATGCCCTGTCTCTGTCTCTCTCTCTGAAAAATAAATAAACATTAAAAAAATGAAATGTCTAAAACAGATTATGTGCACCCAGGACAGTGTGGTGTAGTAGACTCAGGCAATATATTTATTAAATGATTACTATATAAGCTAAAAGATATACAGTTACCCCTCACTTTTTAAAAGTTCACATTAGGCCACTTTGATTTTGTGAATGACCTACATTAGTAACTGTTTTGGCTAACCAAAGGAAATCTGAAAAAAATGTTCACTTTCACACAAAAAAGTAGAGGCGCCTGGGTGGCTCAGTTGGTTAAGCATCTGACCTCGGCTCAGGTCATGATCTCACATTCATGAGCTTGAGCCCTGTGTCGGGCTCTGTGCTGACAGCTCAGAGCCTGGAGTTTGCTTCGGATTCTGTGTCTCCCTGTCTCTGTCCCTCCCCAGCTTGCACT